GTGTTGGCCATTAACAAGAACCAACTGCGGGCACACAGTTGGTTTTCGCGGCAGCAGCGCTGCGCGGAACTCCGGCAGTATAAACATGGGACATCTATCGCCGGCGCAATTCAGACTCTAACTTCTCCAGCTCCTGCGTGCTTTGCCACAATTTGTGATCGATGACCGTCGTAATTGCCGTCTGCCACATGCGGAGCGACATCCTGCGCATAGACTCAACCTGAAAAGTCTCTGCCCCTCTCAGAATCAATAAACAGCTGCTGCCTGCCATTGCGCGTGTTTTGGAACTCCTCGATGAGGTCCAGCGCCGAATCCAGATTGTGGTACTCCTGCCTCATCAGGATCTCAACAGCTACCACCATCTGCAACTCTTCCTTTAGGTGTTCCATTTGCGTTTTCAATGCCTCGATCTTCCGTCGTCGAGCCCCAGCCTCGGTCATGGCGCGCAACGCAGGTGACTGTTCCATCATGGCTCCCCTAAAAAAAGGCCAGTTTGGACCAGAGCGCTGCAAAGTAAATTGCACAAAAAGCATCTCAAATTGACAAATATTGCCCCAGGTGCTATTTTTCTTGCCTGCAAACAAGCATGCGGCAGCAAACACATCGTTTCTCAGGCTGCAGCAGCCCCTCAAGCTCAGCCCAAACACTCACTGTGTTGCCGCAGTGTGTTCGTATGTGAACTCTCGAAGCACCGGCTGCAAGTCCTGTATCAGGACATGGACTGGCCAGAGTATGGCCAGAAACACACACTCTGCGTCGTGGCCAGCGGCAAGACCGCCCCACACATCCAGGGCCTCGCTCACCTGCAACATTTGGTCATGGAGAGTGCGCAGCTCGTCAAGCTTAACCTTGTTCAGCTTCCCCTTCATCGGCCGCAGCATCTCGTACTCATCAAACATCCACAAGACGTCCTTGTAGCGCACATCAGTCACCGGTGTCTTGTGACAAAAAAAGTGTTCAAGCACAGTGCGTGTGGCGCAGCACTTGCTGATGATCTTGGAGTTCATCCGGTTGTCTTTGTACAGAGGGCCCAGAGTCTCGCAGACCTTGATGAGCATCGAGAAAGGGATCTTGTCTGGTTGCCCGCAAGTGATTCGTTGGATGTCGCCAACTTGTATAGGCAATCCCCCCGCACAATGCCAGCTGAGCCCTCCTCCAAGTACCTGGATGCCATGGCTTCGCCAGCTTTGGTTGCAAAGCTGGACAACGAGTTGAAGCCGAACCGAAGCTGAGCCAGTTGAACCGAATGGGCGGGCGGCGGGCGAAAACTCACTGAGCCGCACGCAACGCTGGCAGCAAAACAGACACGCTTTTCCTTGTGCTTTGTAAAACTCAGGAGTTGCCAAACTTCTCAGGCAAAGCAAAAACCTAAGCTGAGCCGGGCTCTCAGGGGAAAGGCTGTGTTTCCGCAGCCTTTTCTAGATGCAAGTTCAGTCAGAGTTCAAGGGTAAACAAGCTCACGCAAAGTCAAACAAGCATCGTCCAACAGCATCCCCAATGGTGTAAGAGGTCCGTCAATGTCGGCCAGTTCGTTCAAGAAGTGCAGAACCTGGGTCGACTCTTCCACAAAGGCCCGCTCTTCAGCAGTGACGCGTGGAAGTTGCGTTGGTCCTGGAGAGCCTGGAGAGCACAAATCCCGCACAAGAGGCTCCCTGGCCATATCATCAGAAGGCAATGGCGAAATCAGCGCGCGCTCCATACCAGCAAGAACGACTGCGAAAGGAAACATCGCGGCTCTTCGCCCAGTTCTTTCCATGATCAACCGCAGGACCCGGCTGCATTTCCTGACAATAATCTCGTCGTCAATCTTCATTTCAATGACATGCAGCGCCACGCAATGCGCGAGCTCGTCAGCGTCACCCCCGTAAATGTCCATGGCAGCACGTGCGCCAAGTTTCACTACCAGCTGACATAGCAAAAACAACTCTCTGAGCCACCGGATTGTCCAAACATCAAGGCCCCCCTCCCTCCCCAAGATTTTCGGCAAAAAAACACTTCCGAAAAACGGATTGTTTTGACAAAGAACGCGCGCGCGAAAAAACAAGGTTTTCGGTCCAAAAAAAAGCACACAAAAAAAGGCATAAAAAGCATGTCCTTAATGACCGGCCAGTCTTCAGCCCGAGCGTTAACATTGACGGCTGAATCCCCGTTAAGAATTACATTGAGAAGGACCTGGGGGTGAACACGGAGCGTGAACAGGCCTACTGGGACGAGTGGGACGAGCCGGCGCTGCGCCGCATCATCCAGCAGCAGCGCAAGATCACGGAGGAAGAAACTGTACCAGGTTCTAATAATAATCGACGACTACGCCGACAGCCCGCAGCTCCACAAGTCCCACGGCGCCCTTGACACGCTCTTCATCCAAGGCCGTCACATGCAGATCAGCACCTGGGTGAGTTCCCAGAAGCTGAGGCTCATCAGCGCCGCCGTGCGGGTCAACATGCAATTCCTCTGCTGCTGGAGGCTGCGCAACCAGCACGAGCTGAATGCCGTCATCGAGGAGCTGAGCGCACTGCTGCCGAAGGAGCAGCTGTACCGGCTGCACAAGCAGGCGACCCGAGAACCTTACAGTTTCCTCTTTGTGTGCTGCCTGAAGCCGAAGAACGAAATGTTCTAGAAGCGCTTCGAAGCGCGTTTCGCGCTTGCGAAAGACGCCGATGGGGGCAGCGCTCAGCTTCCTGGGCCAGAAGCTGTTCGCCAGCTCCACGCTGATCAACGCGAAGTGTGAGAACATCTCCTGCTGCACTTCCGTCGCAGCCGTCCAGTTGCCCGTCGTTTGCCGGACGGGTGGCTTCCTAAAGAAAAGGATGACGACGATCTACGTGGACAGCCGCAAGAGGGTGGCCGGCTCGGACAGCGACTTTGAGGTCGACCTGGGGGAGTCGCTGCACTTGCAGAGCGACGCCCGGCTTGCCGTCTACAAAATCCGCTTGGCCGACAGCTTCCTGTCCGCGGACCGGCCGCTACCTCTGGGTTGACGCCGCGCTCGGCACGCTGAATTGGGCGCTACTGCCCGAGGGCGCTTACACGGGCGCCCGGCTGACCGCCTGGGTCAGCTCCAACTGAGCGTTGCCTACAATGGCAACCGGCCGATCCTGAACGACCTGGAGCTGCGCCAGCAATTTCCTAACGCAGCGGACTACCCTGCTGCGCCGCCCGCCTCTCCAACCCTTCAGGGCCCGAGCTTTGTCTCCGGCGGGCAGCAGGGCACAACAAGGTCTACCTGGGCAACCTGGGCGACGACATCCTCTCCAAGACCACGCTGAAGAGCGGCGTGGGCACATTGTAAGACCGGCTCCAACAACGGGACTTCATGGCCCTGAGGGGCCCCGTCACCCGAAGGCAGACGGCGCGCGCAGAAGGTAGAGCGTGGCCAGCGCAAGCTGTTGAGAAGACGGCGGCCGTGGCTGCGGAGGAGGGTAAGGTTGCCGTTGCCGTGGGCGCAGCCTACGGCCGAGCACGCGGCAGGCTGCTAGAGAACACGCTCTTCCGGCCTTAGCAGGGCAGCAAGGACGCGGCCGTGCAGAACGTCCGGTCCGCCAACAACGTGAACGACGCCACTTAGCCTTAGCACTTCACGCTGCGCACCGGCAGCACGTCCGGCAGCCCCGCAAGCAGCCGTGCCTTCTCCCAGTTAGGCTTCCGCGTCCAGACTGCATCATCTGCTGCAAGCTCTTAGCAACCTTCCTTAGTGCAGTTGAAGGCTTTTCTGTGCTCTAAATGTTTAGCGGCCCAAAAACACTCGGTCTTGATGCAAAAGCTCTTAAGTGCCTCCACCAGCCAAAGCATATGCCTTCTTACATCCACAAAGCGTTGTTGCCCCAAGATGGCCCATTGGAATTGCTTCCGCTGTGCGCGCTCGGATTGTGTTTCTTTTTGTTTTTGTTGTTCCGGGTTTTATTTGTTTTGTCGCTTGTTCTTTTGCCCGATGCTAAAACAGCGGACCTGCGTGATCGCAATCTGAACAAAAATATGTGCGCAGCTTGGATTGCGTGGGGCCGAGCTGCCTGCACCAAGCTTCGGAAGCGTGGCTTTGCGTGTAGCGTGCTCTTTTTGCGTAGTTGCGTGCTTCTGGCTCATTCAACCCATGGTGGAACATGACGGCAATTTTAAACCTTGTCAAATATTTTCAATATAGGCGGTTCCGCATGCGGCACCTGTTGCTTGGTTGCGGCAAAATTGCAAAACAAGCGGAGGATGGGTTTTCCAGTTGGTTTCATTTTTTTGCCAGGTTGACACGACTTGGGCGTCCTTTTCTTGCGCCTGCAGATTGCTGCAATAGGTAGACTAGGGCTTAAGGTTTTTGCGATTGCTGTTGGTTGGTTGTTTGCATTTGCTTTCAAACTTGGTGAGAATGATGTTGGTCAGTCTTAACGTCACATTTTATGAGGTTGTTGGTTCCTCACTGCCAACCGCTGCCAGTTTCAAGACGGGGGGCTCAAAGAAATGATGTTTTGTTCTGACTTTGGAACTTTCGGACAAGAGTTATTGCAAGACACCAAACGCATGATTTTACCGTGTGTGTTGGACTTAGCCTTGGTAAATATATTTGTTGGCACGAGAAAATGTCATTTCGATTTTGGTGATGACATGCTCGCTGGGCAAGATAACGCCCAACTGGGCAATGTGACTTGGCGCTGTTTTGCAATTTTGGTGAATGTGAGATTGAGACTTGTGATGTGGCACTCGGCTTTTGCGTTGATCTGACCGTGTTGACGTTTTGTCACAGTGCAACGTTAATACATTTGGCATGGGTTGCATCAGGTGACACATCTATGGCACGTTGTTGCAACCTTTTGAATGTATGTCACAATATGGTTTGTGCCATGTTTTTGCTTGTTCATAGCAACCTTGCAATCCACATTAATAGATAGCAGGCTTTTCAAAACTACGGGTTTACGTATAGTTATATGTATTTCCTCTTTGGATTGTCACGAGTCAATATTGTTTTTGTCGATTCCTACGTTTTGTCATTGAAGCTGACCATGCCTGCTGCATCGAGACAGCTGAAAATGGGTCATTAGTGAGCACCTTGTGTGCGTGGACGTGGCCGGCTGGATCAAGGCCAACCTTGCAATGTGCGTTGAATTCGGGGAATTCCATGCTTCGGCATGCGCAGGTTGGCAGCATGGCGATGAACTTGTCTAGCGTGTCCCAGCTCCTTGAAGATATGGAGAACTGGGACAAGGCCGGGCATTCGGATTGTTGAATACACAAATGTTTGTTTTGTATTGCAGGACAAACGGTTCATGGCTGCATCAGACCTGACGCAAGAAGTCACCATGTCCAACCAGGCCAGCGTTGACAATTGACATGCTCAAGCAAGGAGATGATTTCCAATCAGCCAACATTTTTTTGTTGCTACGTGCCAAACCTGCAGGTGCTAGATGTTCACTTGCAGAAAAGAGTATGCCAAGCCTTCGTCAAGCAATTGGAGGTTGGGCAAAAATGGTGCATTTGCTGAGTGGCATGTGATGCGTGTGACCCAGGATCAAAGTATTGATGTCCAGGGCAATGCAGCACCTTATTTGCAACTAGCATGTGATACTTCTTTGTATAAAGCATCATGGTAACTGTACCAAGGTGAAGTGCTTGGCAAAAATTGTGTGCAAGTTCCAAGAGCAACAGATTGGCGAGGCGCAGCAAGCACATTGCTCAGCTTGCTCAGCTTATGCTGTTAGAAAAAACTGCAAGGTTCTAGCAAAGCTTAGCCAACAAGTTCTTGATGGAAAGGCTGAGGCTCGGCAAGTTGCTTTACAGAACACGTGGACCGTCTTTGCGTCTCTGACCTCAACAGGTTAGCTTGAGTCTAAGAGTCTGCAGGTTTGCTTCTTTGACAGATACGGGCACCTGCTGCCCATGATTGGCAGGTTCGAGACATTTATGCCACCTGCCTCAAGGGTCTCCTGTCCGAATTGCAACACAGTTGCAACTAGATCGATGCTGTTGGATTCATGTTGCAGCACATTTGGTGGACTTAAACTGTGCTCTGAATTCAGGCCAGCCTCATGCAGCGCACTGGCTTGCCAGAACGCCAGCAGCTCGCAATGTCCAGTATTTATGAGCAATTCTGGCATACTTGATGTTTCGAGCAACAGAGTGAGGTGTTGCCCAAGATGCTGCATGGCATCACATCCATCCCATCATTAGAGGTGGGTGACCATAGCATTGTCCGCGTGCACCAGATCAGCTGGGATTGCGAAGGTCAAAGAGGAATGCACCGATGTGTTCCATGACTTTCTGAAACGTTTCGGCCACGAGCTAAGAGTGACAAGGGTGACCCAGTGCCAGTCTGCACAGAATTGCCATTGTGGACCCCTCAGTGCCTTGTCAGGCGACAACCGAATCATGCAGTGGTCGGATCAGGACATGCCACAGCATAGCATGAGTGCCAAGCTTGCCCATTGGGATTGTGGACAAGTGCCAGCAACATGATTTGCACAGGATAACATGGCGACTTCGTTGCTAAACCTGTTGAAGCCCAAGCAGCACAAGACCTCCCTTCGCAAGAAGGCACCCTGCCAAGCAGTCGGAACTTGTCGGAACTGCAAAACGGTCTATTGGCATGGCTGTCAAGGTGATCGCTTGTATTGGAGCTCTATCCGCCGTGTTGGCAGACCGGCAGCTTGACACTCTGATGAGGACAGCGCTTGAGGAGAAAACAAAAGTGCAATTGCGGAGTTGACCTGGCGGAGGACACTGCTGGGAGATGTGCGATCAGCAGGTACCAAGACAGACAAGCAGAAGTGCCCCAGCAGCCGCATGAGGACAGATTGTTAAAGACAGCAGTGTGCAGTTTGGTATCTCAGTAAGCGAATTGAAGTCTGGGCATTGAGAAGTAGCAGTAGGAAAGCCCAAGGGTTGAAGAGATTGGATCAACCATGTTTGAAATTTGTTGAGCGCATAATATTAAGAAGTGTTGGGTCACGGATAATTGGCAACATGCGAGCGTAGCAGGCAATGGTGGAAATGTGTCCATGTACGGCCAACCCTCCATGGTGGCCGTGCCAACAACACTTTCTTTTTCATCATTTTTTTTTCTGGACTTACATTTTGCGATGGGTTGAACTCGAACCCCAGTGGATGTGCTGAATTCTCTCCAGGGTCTTCTTTATATGTAGGCCGCCATCCATTCAGATGCTTGGGCACGCTCTGCCCTCCTGTTAATGCTGAGAATGCTGAATCAGGTGGTGCTTGTGATGGTCATTGTGGTTGCGGTGACGGTGGCGATGGCGGCTGGCAATGGTGGTGGTAGTGGGAAGGTGGGTGGTGGGTGGTGCTTGGTGCTTGGGTAGCGGGGCGGGGGTGGTGGGGTGCATTTTGTGCTTTTGGTCGTTGCCCATATAGAAAGTCAAAGCTTAAGTTGTCTTTGCTCATTTGACTTCTGCATATGTTGTCTTTCTCGGTTTCCACACGCCAGAAGAGGGAGACTGCCAGGTACATTCAGTGCATCAGCACAGTCAGTCGACATGTTGGTTGCGGCCTTACCCCGTGCTTCGCACACATTTACTGTAATTGCTTGTCTTTTGGTGGGCCATGTACCAACATGCCAGGCTTCAGAATCGGCCAGCACTTGAAAGAGATTGCGCCGTTGTTTTTGCAAATTGTCAACCAGGCCACCTCAGTGCGCATTGTGCACGCTTATTTTTTTGCAGGCATGCATTTGATGCGACAAACTGAAACGTCTTTGTGGGACAACAACTGTAACGGCCTTCTCCCATCAGGCAACTCAGGAGGATGTCTCCATGGATGGTGACAACGAGAAAGATCATGAGGCTCACCAAATTTGGGTGGCCATTTGTTTGGCAACACCATTGCAAAACAGGTTGTGGAGAATTGCCTCAACGCATTCGAGTGCTTCGTCTTGCGTAGCTCCAAGGAGGATCGTAGCAGCATTGCTTCCGTCGGCTTCGAAGTGATACCGTTATCGCAAATGCAGATCGTGTCAAGCCTGCAATTGCAGATGGCTCCGCACTTGGATGAGCTCTGCGGTGTCATCCTCAACCTTATCTCTTACGATCCAAACTTTTACGACTCCAGCGATGCGCAGGACGGTTGACATTTACATTTTTAAAAGTGCTTGCTTGGCATCGTTCCAATTTGTCAGGATGCAGTCATGGAAGAGTTTGAGGAGTTTGATGAGGATGGCCTTGTGGATTCTGATGACGACGACAACTCGTGGAAGGTCCGCAGAGCTGCTTTGAAGGCGAGGACTGGTCCAATCATGTTTCATGGTTGCTGTGCGTGTTTGTTGTTCTTGTCTGTGTCTACGATCTCATTCTTGTTTAGATCTGTGTTCCTTCTTGTTCTTGCGGCAGCAGCGGCAGCGGCAGCGGCAGCGGCAGCGGCTGCGGCTGCGGCTGCGGCTGCGGCTGCTGCTGCTGCTGCTGCTGCTGCTGCTGCTGCTGCTTCTGTTGTTGTTGTTGTTGTTGTTGTTGTTGTTGTTGTTGTTGTTGTTGTTGTTGTTGTTGTTGTTGTTGTTGTTGTTGTTGTTGTTGTTGTTGTTGTTGTTGTTGTTGTTGTTGTTGTTGTTGTTGTTGTTGTTGTTGTTGTTGTTGTTGTTGTTGTTGTTGTTGTTGTTGTTGTTGTTGTTGTTGTTGTTGTTGTTGTTGTTGTTGTTGTTGTTGTTGTTGTTGTTGTT